GAGAAGTTGCTCGGTTACACCCTCAGTCCCGAGCCCGTCCTTGGAAAGGGCATTCCACTACGGCATGTGGATGGGCAGACTGCCGCCCTCTAGCATATTCCCCTCGGGGAAGGGGAGTGGACGGCTTGGGCACCCTCCTCCAAGTTGACCACGACCTCTTCCTCGGCCACCCACTACCACGCTCTCTTCTGCTGCCGAGGAGTCCTCTCGATAGACCTTAGTGGCATCGCCTCGGATCGGGGCTGGGCCCCTTGAACAACTCGGCTGTGCCTGTCTTGCCCAACCCTCATCTGGTGGAGAATTTCTTCATGACTCGCCATCTCAGCACCTACACCAAAATAAACATCTAATCAGTACAAGTCAAGAGCTTAGAAAAGAAGAGATCGGCAAATCAAGAACAACAAACAGACCGACCTCTTCACTCATCAGCCCAATGCGGATCAACATTGAGAAGGACGTATAGTACATCACATCAACATCCTCTATCATCCCTATTGTCGCCTTCTCTCCCTTAGTAAGGCGGCTCAGCTCAGGCTTCTTTACCTTCGTCCTCGGCATCTAGAGCTTGGCCGACAGAGGTGAGCCTCCGGAATAGCGCACAAAGAAGAACTTCTCCTTCCAGTGCTTCACCAAGGACAAGGTCCTAACTAACACCTTGATATGCTGTCAGGTCGAGAAGTAGTAATACCCCTACTGGTGGTGCTTCAATTGGAGGAAATAAGAGACCGTCCTTAGAGTAATCTCTATGTCATGGATAAAGCAGTAGGACAGGAGATCGATCAAGAACCTGAAGGAGTTTGGCATCAACAGCACCAACAATACCCGACACCACGTGAACACCTCAACCAATCCCTCGTGCAACGGGAACCTCAACCTAGACTCCAGACTCTTCTCATATACAAAGAGCTCGTCCGACCGAGCATCTTTGGGCCTCTCACCAGTCCTCGGACACCTGAACATATACTTCGCGGGGATGCAGTATAGAGCCTGGATCTGAGTCATATCCCCGAGAGTCAGACAACATGGAGTGGTTCCAAATTAGCGACCAGCCCGTGCAGGAAGCTTGACCTCCACGGTCGATGGCCCTGCCTCAGCCTCCTCGGCCTCGACAACCCTCTTAGAATCTACCCCCTCGAAGTCCTCGGCCTTACCCCCCCAGCCCTCAGCCTCACGAACATTGAACGCAGCAGCCTCAATGAGAGACCGCGGCACGAACTCTGAGTAGGAAGCAGTGGAAGCAGAAGAACAAGAAGAATGGGAAGACGAAGAAGACATCTTACCTAAATTCGGAGATAAAGGTTGCAGAACTGAAGCAAACATCGAGCATTGAGAACTACTTCTCGCCAAGCTCTACAAGTGCCTTCCTTCACAAATGACAAAGGAGAAATGCTCTTCTCCCCCTATTTATAGGACCCCCCAATGATCTAGATCAACGGCGATGATCAAATGTCGTTTTGACAGCTCGGGAATGTCCAATCGATGCCACTGACTTCCGCACGCACCAAACATTGGGAAAGCAAAATGCCGCTTCCATCAGCATGACACAAGCACCGAACCAGCCGGTCCACTCAGAAACCGGTTCAACCCTAAGGCCCATCGCTCACATGGCATGCTCAACCAAACTTCAACTTCAAGTTCCTCAGTCGAGAACCAAATAACTCTTTCACGCCACACCGCGATCGAGCACTACGCTCCTCGACTTCGAAACTGGGGGGTTGATGTTCAGGTTATGGTTGAGCTAGCCCCGAATGCCATGTGTCGCCTTCGTGGCTGCCCAATCACCTTGTCCATGTCAGTGCTGCATCACCTCCGCGGCCTACCTTATCACTTCGACCATGTTAGTGCCACGTCACCTCTGCGTCCCACTTTATCTCTTTAGCCACGTTGGCACCACATCATGTGGATAAGCGCGACCAAGACAAGAGAGTGGATGGGGACAACCCCACTGGGGGTTAGGTCTTTTCCTGAAGACCTTGGCGGTTAACCTCATGCCGACAACACTGGAAGCTTCATCTGACCAGGACACAGATCCTTGGCTATAAAAAGGTACCTACCGCTCAAGGTAAGGGATCCAACTCTTAACTCCCATACTGTTACTTTGCTCAGACCAACACTATTCTCTAACTGCTCAGCCTGACCACCCACCTTCCTCGACTAACTTGAGCATCGGAGTATCTACCCGGGGATAACTCCTCAGGCCTTTGATTGCTTTCTTGCTTGCAGATCTTGGAGTGTGGCTTTGTCCTTCCACTTCGGCTCCACCCAGTTGGCAGGATTATCTGACTGCGACCTCGGTTCAAAAACTACCTTGAATCGAGCAACATCAGGTGTTATTTAGGCCCACAGGGAGTTCTCCTTTGTTATATAAATTTAACACCATCTCATGAATGTCTTTACCCACGATATCCCAGTGCTTTTGGTAGAAATGGGCTGAGAACCCGTTTGGGCCCAATGCTTTATTTGGATTGAGCTACTTAACTATTGAGATATTTCTTCTTCATTTGGATGGTGGAGGATGGATTGAGCCTATTCATCTGAAATTTTGGGGAGGTTGATCTAGGAGAGGGAAGCAGGGTTGAAAGTTTCTTTTTCCCCTCCTATACTTTCCATGGTTTGTTTGAGGATATCTGCTATTTGTTTTTTGTTGGAGGTCCATTGACCATCAGTGCCCTTGATCCATGAGATGTTGTTTTTAATGTTCTTGTGATTGGCCATGTGGTGGAAGTATTTGGTGTTCTTATTGCCTTCTTGAAGCCACAATTCTTTGGATTTGAGTCGCCATAGTTGCTTTTCCTTTTGTAGCTAGTAGTGATATTGATTTTGGAGCTCTTCTAGCTTTTGGGCCTCCGAAGGAGAGAGGGACTTCATTTGTAGATTTGAAATCTGTGAGGTGAGGGTTGCTAGGTGATCTTGGATGCATCCATGCTGGGTTTGGTTCCATTAGGATAAGGCTTGTCTGCACTTTGTGAGTTTGGAGGGTATTGAACGGGAAGTGGCATTCCACAATTCTTGGATGACTTGTTTGTAGCATGGATGTTTAGCCCAAAAAGGTTGGTAGTGGAATAGTGAGTGTTTATGTGGGTGAATGGGGTGTGTGGAGAGCTTCAAGGGACCATAGTCAAAGGAGATTATGGGTAGGGATGTCTATGAAAAACTGAAAAACCGAGAAACCAAACTGCAAAGTGCGGTTAACCGAACTGATTGGTTTGGGATTTTTGAAAAACTAAAGGACCGGTTCGGTTTTCGGTTAACCTATAAAAAAACCGACGATTAACTGAATCGACTGGTATATATATTTTTATGTATATTTTATATATATTTTTAATATATGTCATATTTTCTATGTATTATATATAAATATATATTCATTATATATAAAATATATACTTATATTATATTTATAATGATCTATTTTTAAACATATTATATATCATTTATTATTTATAATATAATATTATATATATATATTTGTATAATATATATTATAAATATAAAAAACTGAAAAACTGAAGAACCGAACCGGTCAAAAACCGAAACCGATGGACCGGTTAATCGGTGGTACCGGTTCGGTTTCAGTTTGGAGAATTAGAGAAACCGGTACCACTGGTTCGGTTTACAAAAAAGTGCCATGTACCACAGTTAACCGAACCGTGGACACCCCTAATTATGGGTAGATGAAAGTTGATGGCAGTTGGAGCCATTCCTGGGTGACTAAAGTTCTATCTAGTCTTTCCAGGGTTTTGAGGTGGTCTTGTTGACCATTTGATGACCATGTAAAGTAGGGAACCCACAAAATCCATATCAGTAACCAGTTAGGTTAAAGTTTTTGATGAACCTGTCCATATGTTTTGATAAGCGTGGCAAGGAGCCTCTGAAGTTCTAGTGGTTTTGTGGGAGATGGATGTCGTTCATGTCCCAACTCCCAAGGGGAGTTCATTGGGAGATTCTTTATTGTTAGGTGTATGAAGTGCTTGTGAATTTGGTGGACTTGACTTGAATGTTTAGGTTTTCCTTCCACCATATTGTATCCAAGAGATTCACTATTTGACCATCCTCTACTGTTAAGATGTTCTACCGTTGTTCGTTCATGTCCTCTTTTTCTCTTCATTGTGCGGAGATGGATGAAGCCTAGGCCTCCCGTTTTGGTGATGTAATAAAGTTTCTCACCATTGTTGTAAAAACCTGTAGCATTCAATTGCTCTTGGGAGTCGGTGTGTAGATGAAGCTGTGCATGCGGTCGAGATGGATTGCTTGGGTTGGGGGTTGTATTTGTGAGTATTGTGCGTTGGGTGGGGATGGTACTTGCATGCATGTTATGTGGAGGGGGAAGAAGGGAGGTGATTAATTAATGCGAGTGGATGGTGTATGTGGTCCAGTCTGATTTTCAAACCTTGTTTCCTGTACATATCTTCTTGTATCTCTATCTTGGGGATGTACACATATACAAGAAAATCAATACAAGTAATTAACCTTCTCTTTAGGCTGCGTTTGGAAATGATGCAAATATGTAGAGTGTAAAATGGTTTATATAAATTGCAAAATTGGGTTAGTTTTGCACTAACAAATTTATCTTCTTACTAAACAGACTTTTAGCTGTAATGGATGCAACCATGAATTCCAATAAAGCATATGTTTTTTTTTTTTTTTTTTTTTTTTTATCAAAAGCCCACTTGAATGCAAATTTACTTCTTTTTTATTGATGTCCTTTTACATCTTTTTATCAATGTAAATATGCATTGGTTTGTCATTTGTCAATGCATAAATGTAATGCTGCCAAACACAGGCAAAAGTAAACCAGAGTGCAAATTTACCCTGAACTGGGATTTACACTCCATTTGCATTGTTTCCAAACACAGCCTTATTTAAAATTTTCAATTTTAGAAGAAGAAAACCAAGAATGAACAAGTAATACATGGATCATAAAATACTACCCTAATGAATCAAATAAAATTTGGAAGTCCTGATTTGAGAACTAAGAGCAAAATCCCAAGGGAACATGATCAATTAAACATTAGATGAATCAAGAGTATTTGTACTTTAACCCAATAAAATCTTTGCTTAATTGAACAAAAGATTAAGAAATAATTCAAGATTATTGTTACCAATTCCACCAAAAGCTCAATTGGATCTTGGACAAGAACAAAAATGCCACTGTAGGTGGTAAGGAGGATAACCTTTGTTGAGGAGCATACCATTAATACTTTCCTCTGTTCCTTGATTTGAAAAGCTTGTAGAGAGATGTTGTTGTTCAGAACAACTCTGGATCTTTACAAAACTTGCTAATAAACTATTAATTAAATTTAACTTTTGGCTGGAATGAGATTGAAGCTCACTTTTAGTTGCACCAGTTTATTTTAGTCATTAATCAGGTAACTGATCAGGGGCTCGTATTCTCATTGGACTCTTCAGAAGGTGCTAAGAACCATCGGTTAAGGCGTTCATGTGCCTTTTTAACCTATATGAGAAAACAAAGTATATATATTAGAAACTTAAAAAGTTACAAGTGAAACCAAGGTAACATGGAAATGAAAACAAAACTCCAATCTGGGCCTAGCAAGTATCCAAGGTTTAAAAAATGATTTAACACCCAAGGATCTGTTTGCTTGCAGTGCACAACTGAACCGATTACAAATTTTGCACTCGATTCAGTTTGGAATCCATTTGTTTGTAATTATGATTTGCACTCTTGCCTGATATAAAAATTGTACTTTCTATCTCATTTGCACTCATTGGCAATGCAAATTTTTCATCTCAAAAAATGATGCAAATTTTGCATTACTTCCTACTTCAATTCTGTCTCATATAAAATGGGGATTACATGATTTTGCTTCCTACCTTATTGCCAAACAAATAACCTTCCTCCTTACCTCCATTACTTATCATATAAGGTGGGGATCACATTATTTTATTTCCTATTTTACTCGTCACAAACAAACAAGACAAAATCAAATTTGAAGCAAAAGTAAACCAGAATTTGCAATCAGCCCATTTATACTCCCATGCATTTGAACTGCAAGCAAACAAACAAAGGCTGCATTTGGCATTCCTTATTTTAGAGACTTATCCCCTTTTTGCAGTTAAAAACTCAGTGTTCATAGAGGCATTTTGACTGCAGAAAGGAGATAAGTCTTTAAAATAAGGAATGCCAAACCAAATGCAGCCTAAAACTGATTTTAAAATATAAAATCCGGCCATATTTTTTCAATATTTACATGCTCTCCATTTTATGTTTTATATTCCATAACTATGTTAGAAAATTGAAAGGTCTCCTAAAAAAGGAGACCAACATCTTGTTATCCATCTCATTTATAAGTCTTAATAAGATGTATCTTCTTACCTGATCATTCCAATTAGTTCTCCAAGTAATTAAAATAAGCATAAGATTTTGTAATGCAACTCCACATATCATTCCAATCCAGATACCCTGAGCAATTAATGAAACAATTAATCAGATAAGTTCTTGGTAGAATGGGTTGGATTTTTTTTTTTTTTTTGTGGTCACTACAAGTCTAGAACTAGACAAGTGGTTTCTTACCCTAACTCCAGCCCAGCAACATATCCAAGAATAATCCCAACAGGAACTCCAACAACATAGTAGCAACTAATATTGACATATGCCACTATAGCTTGCCAACCAGCACCTATAGCCACTCCTGTTCACATAGTTTATGAAACATATAAAGCACATACATAGTTAAACCATTTGCTTATTAATTTGTACCAATAAGTTTCAATATTAACAGAAAACAGAAGCTATCTAGTGATATACTTGCCTGAGAGTACTGGTTGAATACTATTGAGCAAGATAGAGAAAGCCAGTAGGACGGAAAGACTTGACACAGCTTTGGCAATCTCTGTGCTAGATGTAAATGCATAAGAAATGACGTGACCAAAGACCAAAGCCAGAACCCAGAAAAGCAATCCAATACACAATGATGTGCATAGATTGACTTTAATTGAGAATATTGCAGCTTTTGCATCTCCTCTTCCCAATTCATTTGCTACTCGCACACTGTGTTAATATATATATATATATATATAAGAAAGTCACTGATTGAAAATGGAAATTAAATGATTGTCTTTTATAAGTGGGAGAATTTTGATTGGTTGAGTGTGTAGAGAGAGAGAGAGAGAGAGAGAGAAAGTGGATCAATACCAAGCTGCAGACAAGAATCCAAGTGATATCATAAACTCCCATGAAGTGATGTTGAGGCTACAAGTTCAAATTAATTAAATGCGCTTAGTCAAAATATTCTAGAAGAAAATGACAATGTGAAAAAGAAGAGACACAAATAGTAAAACCTTACCAAATTGAGAAAGCAGATATATCAACCGTAGCATTTTTCATGTAGCCCGCTAATAATACTAGAACTGCATTGTACCACAATTCTAGGCTAGAAAATTAGGATATAAAAGTCAGTAAAATAAGATGTACAGAAATATTATTGTTTTTAAGAAGTAAATGTGAAATTCAATGAAAACAAACACTGATCAAACTCATGCTTATTATGACATATCCCCTGACAAACACTGATCAAACTCATTCTTGGAAGTATATGAGTTGAGGATATCATATCCCCTGAATCGCCAAAGACTTAACCAGTCATGCAAGTGAACACTAATTATAACTTTATTGAACAGTACTGTGACCATTTTGCTCCTCACTAGAACAATCTACCTATGGACATCATCTCAGCCTGGCTGGTTGCTCATTGGACTCATTGACCAATAATCTGAACATGTGGCTACCTAGGTGGATTAAATTATGAAAGGTTAATTTCCAAATGTATATTACCACTGTGGTAGAACTAGGAACACAGAGCAATTTTGCCCCAAGATGGATGGGGAGACAATAATGAGAAAATACTAAAGGAGAAGAACTAGACACTCCAGAATCCAAAAAGCTATATGGGCTATTGTCGAAGGTAAAACCGCATGCATTTGGTGAAGGAAGACACTAGTAAGAAAAATAGAAGCTCTAGGGGCCTTAAATCATATTGTGCAAAAGCACAAACAACGAAGTTCACAGGTCTAATTTCTGATGTTTGAAAAGTAAGAAGTATTAAAATAACAGCTTGATGTCTGAGTCTTTTGCTTTTAAGACATTAGAGGTTGAAAACAGACCTAAAAAACAAGGCCTGAGCATGGAATTTTTGTTCCTATTAAAGGAGATAATATAAATAAAAATTATGGAATGGAGACCTTCCTCCCTCCCTCCCAGTGGTTACCCTTAGACAATCAATTTTGACTTACAAAAGTTAAAATTTTAACCGTAGATTGGAAAGTGACAAGCCATGACTGACGAAGTGACAAGGTGACAAGCCATGACCATTACTGACAAGGTGACAAGCCATGACCATCCACCAGGATAGATGGTCATTCAGCACCAAAACTGACAAAGTGACAAGCCATGACCATTACAGTATTCAACATTGTCTGGTATGTAAATATTCTTCAATAATGAATCCCAAGAAAAGATAAATAAATAACATTTACCCATATTGCCTGCAAGATCCCAGCTCCCAGGTATATAACAGAGTCAATAACAAACCAGTCTAATAGTAATAGAAAAAATAAAGAAACAAATCAGAGATGAAATAAACCAAGGTTGCTACAAGTACTCATTTTAACAAAGATAAATCTATCCTGTAGAATCTGTGGTCATGGCAATCATAACATATCCATTTCATTTGAACATATGCATAGAATAAATACGTAAGCATGCTCCATTTTATGACTACAAACGCAAAGCCAAAAAGTCTGGTTCGTCACATCTCAGGAAGAGGAAACTTACTGTTATACTGGTAGCTGCATCAGGAGTATCGATGTAGTGAAGGGCAGATGACCAGTGATACCTAAATTTGACATGGTCTGCCCATGAGCAGAGACTTCCGATCATTCTCTGCGTAGTCTGGGAGAAGTTGCTTCACGGCATCTGCCGCAGCTTTGTTTAAACGAGCCTGCAACGCCAACAGAAACAATTGTTGTATTAGTTACAGAGAAATGAACAGAGACCATGTAGAAATCACAAAGTAATCATTTTTAAAACCAACAAACTTATGGTTAGTTTGAGGCTCTAGACACCAACAGAAGTCATGGACAGAAGTCACAGAACCAACCTGAGATATCTAGCATTGTTTAGAGGTTTTAAACTAAAGATATCTAGCATTGTTCAAAAAGTGATGAGAAAGATCATTCATCAAAAAAAAGTGATGAGAAAGATTGAATAAAGAACCTGAGCAATCCTGCAAACCGTGAGATGCCCATCTACTCCCCAACCGTGGATTGTTGGCAGAGAGAGAGAGAAGAATAGCAAAGAGAGAAGAACAAATATGTGGAACCTGTTGAAGTTCATCGTTTCCTTCTGGTCTCAGAGGCCAAGAATGATGCAAAAGAAAACTAGATTGGCTTGATGTTGTGTCTAAATGGTAGGTATATACCAAAGAGAAAGAGAGAAAGATACTCTCCAGAGTCCAGACATTAATAACAGAAACGTATCTTATTTAATAGCATTAAATGATTAAATATTTGATTGCCGGAGCGTGCAACGGAATTTGGAATCTTTTTGCCTAAATTCGGAAGCAACCAAAATACAAGGAAGCTGCAAAAGCTACGATCATTGCTATTGGTTACGACTTACGACAAGCCAGCACTGCATTATTCATTAGTAATACCGTGTGTCTTTCTGGTATCATAGATCTTCTAAAAAGACTTCCATTGATACTTTGATTCAATAGATCTTCTAAAAAGACTTGCCATTAGGGTTGAAGTGACCAAACAAAATATTATGGGGTGGTCTTTTGTTTTTAAGACAGAAAGTAGAAAGGAGCGGATTTTCATGGCCGAAACATTGGGACTTGTGAGTTTCCTCCCCAGTTCCGCTTCCACCTCCTCGTAGAACGTCATTAGAGAGAGAGAGAGAGTGAATGTTAGACCACAGACACAGACAATGCGCTGCTACAGAGCCACACCAACCTTGCTCAGCTTCCGGATTATGTCCTTCAAGCTTAACCAGAAAACCTTCAGCCGCTCTCAGGTTAACCAAAAACCCTCTCTCTCCTTTCTCTCCAACCACTGCTATCCCCTGCAAAATGCATCCACAAGAATTCCCAGAAGAACCGCTTCCAATTGCATTAGCCAGAAGAGAGAAGATGAAACAGAGAATTGGACAAATTTGAATTTTATTCGTGGGAAGAAGCTCCTTAGTGAACTATGTACTTGGGGCATCGGAGGCCCTTGCAATTACTTCGTCCAAGTTTCCGATCAAACCCTACTCGCTTCTGCTATTCGGTGTGTTGCTCTGTTCTAGTATATTAGTTGCTACATTCTCTCGTTATTAATTTAGTTGATTTGATTTTACAATCAGTGCAGATATTGTTGTGAGCGCTGCATCCCTTTCATTATCGTCGGTAATGGCTCCAATTGTCTTTTCGATGATTCTGGGTTTGAAGGTTGTGTTATTCTGAACCGGATTGACTTCCTTGAGAGGATCGAACCCGGCGTCTACAGAGTGGGAAGTGGTTACCAGTTCAATCGGTTAGGCGTGCAGTGCACTAATGAAGGATTTTCTGGTCTTGAATTTGCTTCTGGGATTCCTGGGACCGTAGGTGGAGCTGCTTACATGAACGCTGGAGCCAATGGACAGGTAATCCTGCTCCGACCTGCTTGGAATTGTTTGTCAAGAGACCACACCAGTGAGGGTCTATGATCTTTTATATGTTTATTATATAGGAGACTGCCGATGCCATTGATACAGTTGAGATCGTTACAGTGGATGGGAGGCATCAAATTTTGTACAGAAGTGATCTCGCCTTTGGGTACCGCATGTCACCCTTTCAAGCAATGCAAGATTTGGCAGCAATTGTGGCCGTAACATTTTGTCTGTTGCCTTCAGCATCAGCAAAGGAGCGTCAACAAGCATACCTGAAAAAGTAACAAGGATTTCAAATTTTGCTTCTTGAATTCTTCATTGTTCTCCTCAGAGATGCCAATGGGATATATGGTTTTATTTACAGGAGGCGATTGTCTCAGCCTGTGGGGGAACGAACTGCTGGATCGGTGTTCAGAAATCCTCCTGGCATGGGAATTTCAGCAGGGGAGCTTATTGAGAAGGCTGGACTGAAAGGCTTCAGAGTTGGCAGTGCAGAGGTTTCCAAAGTTCATGCTAACTTCTTCATCAATACCGGCAGCTCAAATTCCCGAGAGATGCTTGAACTTATTGGCTTGGTTAAGGCAAAAGTTAAAAAGAAATTTGGAATACAACTCCAAGAAGAAATACAATATGTTGGTCCATTCTGTAAATATTCAAGGGACAAGGATAAATTAGAGATTTGTTGAAAAAACAGAGAGAGAAGAAAGGTTGTTGCTGACAATGAATAAAAATTCAAATTTGAATTCTCAGATAAGTTTTGTTATTCAAGATCCAAACATTTTGCACAATAGTGTTGTTTTTACATTGTTTGCTCACTATCCTGAGCTCCTTTTGTCAATGTCTTTGTGATCACATGAGTAACAATTCCAATTGGACAAAACAGTAGGCACAGAGAAACTGAATGCCGGGTCTCAATCTCATTCTCCAGTCCATCTAGATACACTTGCCTGGAGAGTTGCAGGAATGAGGGAAGTTAGAATTTCAATCAAAATAATTTTTTATCGGTAATAATCAAAAATACATTTTCATTATCATGTCATCCTGTCACCATGTCACCAGTAAAGATCCACTCATCCCACTCAATGCAGGAGAGAGAGAGAGAGAGAGAGAGAGAGACCTTGCAGCGAAGAGGTCTACAGCCAACAAGTGTATCCATGCAGAAGCTAAAGTCATCTCACTTGAGAACATCTTTGCTATACCAGACAGCTGCAATGAGCAAAGGTTTATCACCAAGAAAGAAACTGGAGATGACAACCAAGATTAGTTTTCCTTTTTTTTTCCCTTTCTGATAGCATAGCCTTCTTGAAAATCATAGGGATATGCTAGTTAAGTACGTACCTCTGGCAGCCAATATTTACTTGCAAACATAAACCGTATGGTTTCAGGTGTCCAGGAGAAGTATAGGAGGTATGCATAAAGAAGTCCAAGGACAACATATGGCATAGTGCTCTCAATGGATCTCTTAGTCTGCATTTAAAGAGGCCAAAAAGATACATATCATTTGACTTTTAATTCAATGTGGTTAACCTAAGCTACCTAAACAATCACAGAAAACTTACCAGCTCAGCTTTAGGTGCCAGAACCATGAGGGTATAAAATGGCAAAACGGCAACTGTTGCCACAGTGAAAACACTGCTAGCAAGTTGAGAACTTGTAAGCCCTGAAAGAGAAAATAATATTTTAAATGGCTATAGAATCCATTCCTAGAAGCAACACTTAGGTTCTCAATAGTGCTAATATTGCAGCTTATGATCTGAATGAAATCTGAGGACATATTCTACTCTTACAACCCAAATGCATTTTCTGATAAATGATATTCCTCAATGACAACAACAACTATATAATGAACCTAAAGGAAGTAACTGACTAAGAAATAGCTAGAAGATTACTATTGCAGTAGCATTCAACTCTTGAAAAATAGCTAACATAAGAAAGTAAAGCCCCTAGTCTTGTGCTCATTTCAGTCTGATTCAAATTATCATGAATATGGCATGCATCTTATAATCAACTCAACCTTTTAACTCAATTTTGCAATGAATCAAGTGGTCCCAAGTTCAGATCTCTGTTTCACACCTCTCTTGGGCCATATTTGGAGGGAGGAAAAAGGAAACACTGATATAAAAGGCCAAATAAATGGAGAAGACATAGTTGGCTCAAAGGATAACCCATGAAAAATTCTTTAGGGTGTTAATAATGGCAAATGCAGAACTTCTTTGGAGAAAATGAAATAAAAACAGTATATTTGAAATAACAGTCCAAGGTCATTTTTACATTTTAAATAACATTTATTGGCCTTGATCATTATGATGACCACCAATAACTGCCAAAAAAATGCATATAACAGGAATTCCAGGTTCCAGCATTTAGTTGTTTGCCATAAAAAACTAATTTGTAATGATAAAAGTGAATATAGAAAGGTGTTCTTACATTTTAAAGCATATTTTAGTGATTAGGAATGTCCTCCCAACTCACACCCCCCTCTAAAATTGATAAAATGTGCTAAGGCTCTACTGCCAGGAGTGAAGCTTCTAAAAAGCAGGAGAATATATTCCAGTACAAAGGGTTCTACAAGTTCTGGCCCAAGTGAAGCTCATTGTTCCATGAGTTTCTAAAGATACCTCTCCTAACTTAAATCAGAGAATATTTTTTCAATGGAGTTTCTTGTGATGGAGAAGCATATCATTTTGCCCAAGCATGATTGTTTTACCCTCTACCAACTACAGGAAACAAGGAAGCCTAGATTTTTTTAAGGTAAATTAAAAAGAAACTTTATTGAAACAAAACACAGATTACAATAAAGAAGCAGGTGATGAAATGACCCCAAGTCCCCAACAAAAAAGAAAAAGAGAACTCAATCCCAACAAAACACCCTGCACCACCCTAAAACAAATCTGAAAAAAAAACCACCCCAAAAGATGCATCCTCCCTAACAATTCACTGCAAAAAACAGGAGGAATCAAAAGATTCAAAACTCAAGCAATCTCCTAAAAGCACATACTCAAATCAATGAAGCCACTCCCATCTTTACAACCACTCAACATTTCAGGCCTCCCCAAAGTAATCCCTTTTCCTTCCCTAATCAAGGTGTTTGGACAAGCACAAGCAGGATACTGAACAGCCCCTTGCAGGAGTTTGTATACATGGTGTTCAACAAGTGCAGTACCATTCCAAGAGGTTGGCTGGATATGTTCCAGCTGGCCAAGGCAATCCAGAAGTTCCTTGCATAATACACTAGCTGTAAGAGAACAGTATATTCATCTATTTATAGGCCAATATTTTGATGAATATATCAGTTTATTGCAAGTGACATGGAAACCTGCGATTTTTATTTATGGCAAGCAATGACAATTTGCTGCCATCTAGTATATATATATATATATATATATATTGAAGGAAGGTCTTCAGGCAACAGCCCCCACTCTTCAAACATGTAGCATTGTAAAATTTCAATAGATAGAATCTTAGAAGAGGTTAAACTTTCACTCTTAAAAAAGTCTATCCACTCACAAAAAAGTGATAACTCCACTCTCTTAAAATTCACACACGTAGCATCCTAATCTCTAAAAAGTGGCCACTTCAAATGTTATGGTAGTAACAGAATTTTACTCAAACACAACCATTTCAAAAGTAATGATTAAACAAACAATTTAACTTAAAAATATTCAAAATATTAAATGGATAAAAATAAAAATAAATGAAATTCATAAAAATGACTAAACAATTAATACAAATGGTGTGAGTTTCATTCCTTTAGATGAAATAGTTTATTAATTGCAAACTAGATTTAACATTTTTTGGAAGCATAACCTAATTTAGCTTTTAAAAATAAATTTATCAAATAAATAGTAAATACCAAATAAAGTGGGTTACTGCTTACAAATAAGACCTCATTTAATCTCTCAAATCATATTAAAAACAACATAAATTAATAGTGACTTTCAAACAAAGTAATTCAGAATAGATTGTCAATTACAAAGATGTAAGACCCATGTTAATTTTTCTAATTTAACTTTTATAGTTAAATAGTAAATTTCAAATTAAATGATACTGTAGTTGCCCCTTAGTATGGGGTCATTCTCTAGATAAAACACGGTAAGTCTCTTAAATCAAGTAAAAAGCCTAACCTAAATGTCTAATATAAATAATTTAAAATTTTGAAATAATTCAGATTAATGGTCTTGTACTTAGTACTGAGGTCATTCCTAATATGATATTAAAATTAAGAAAAGAGACTATGACAATTTACTCCCAGGTTTTGCCCTCTTCCCTCATTTCAACTAGAACCTAAACCTTAGAAGACTGCCAAGGGATTTGGAACTCAGTGAAGTCAGTAGGTTTTTGCACACCCATAGAGAGGTATACCTCTCCCCAAATTCCCCTGACCTTCGCATCTGGACCTTCACCCAGCATAACCATTTGGTCTGCTTACCTACCTCTCCACAATATAACAATTTTCTACAGAGCCCAATACAACTGTCCCCTATTGACCCCTTTTTAGCTCATGGAACCCAAAGTATTCTTATTGTCATGTTCTTGTTAACCATTTGACCCTATATCTATATCTATATCTATCTATCTATCTATATATAAAATAAAATAGGACGGTCCATGTCAGCATGTCTCTCTTTTGAGAGAAGCTATTTATCTATTTTCTCCATTTTTTGCATTTTTCCTATTTTCTTTTGTTTTAGAAATACAAAAAGTAATCATTGTTTATTTTCATTGGATCAATAAAGTTGTACACTATTATAGAGAGAGAGAGAGAGATAGAAAGAGAGACCTCTTGGTTTTCCAAGGCCTCTTATTTTAATGCATGTTATTATTACATTTAAAAAAGACATTTAAGAGAGAAAGTGTGGGGGGTGAGGGAATAGTAATACAACATAATAAAGTAAAATATTAATAAATCAAATAATATAAATAGGTTGAGGTTAAACAATCAAACATAAAAAAACAGAAATAAAAATATTATTTTAAAAATTATTAATTTAAAAATCCATTAAACTTCCACTTAAAACTATTAAATAGTAACAAAACTTAGTAAAAATTAAAAACATTTCAATTCCACTTAAAAATCAAACTTAATAAACACTAAAAAAAAAAGAAATTTAAATACAACAAATATTAATTGATAGTTTTAATAATATTATGTGCTTCAAGGCTTTAGTTAAGGAAGAACAAACCTTTGCTCGGTTCCCCTTCAAGACTCAAGAGAGTATGGTGCTCCCATATCCCCTCTAGGGTTTGCTTTTTTGTGTGGGAAGCCAGCTTGAAGAGAATCAACATTTAAGATCTTCTTCAGAAAAAGAACCTTAGAAGATCATATTTCTCCTCATGTCTGCTGCTTTTGCTTAAAAGCTAGGGAGTCTTCCAACCACATCCTGCTTCACTGTGAGGAAACCAGAAAACTTTGGAACTTTTTCATAGTTGGGTCTTCCCAGGACATGTGGTAGACTGTCTAGGACAATGGACAGGAAGAGGCTTAAGCAAAAGAGGGAAAGCATTGTAGCAATCTACTTCCCATGCTATTCTTTGAAGCATATGGAAAGAGAGAAATAATTGTGTTCAACAACAGAACTAGAAACTATGAAGAGCTCATTTCCATCTGTTTCGAATGCAGCTACAATAATCCGAACCATGAGAGAAGGAAGAAGAAGATGAAGAAGAAGAAAAGAGAGAGAGAGAACAGGAGGGTTTAGTTGAAACTCATTGATTCACTATTCATTCGACTCCCTAATGTTTATTAGGTTCTAATAACATTTACAAAGACTAAACTACCCTTACTTAAGTGTGGGGCAGAGTACCTCTAATAAAACTGCCACATAAGCAAGGTACTTAACAAACATGAGATGACTAAATTACCCCTATTCGGCTCACTTTAACACTCCCCCTCAAGCTGGAGAATATGTCATATAATCCCAGCTTGTTACATAGATAGTTCACTTTCCCTGAGCTTAGAGCTTTTGTAAACAAATCTGCCCATTGATCATTCGAG